TGCTGTGAAACATGCCGCATCCTCCACCAGGCCACCAACCCTGGTGGTTTGAATAAATATATATGAAACCGTAGAGTTTTCCTTTACTCATGTAAAATGTTGTGGTATAAGTTTTTAGTGTGTTTTCAGACAAGATTCTCATTATTTTTAAAATTCGGCTCCTTTTTTAGCTATTTTAGTCATAACAAACAAAACATCACATCTAACCTATAATCATTACACTCTCCTCTCACAAAAAAAAGTCAAAAAAGTCAAAAAGCCCTTTCCAAACCAACTTTTTAGCTCAGGTTAAAATAACCAAAAAAGTCAAAAAGTCAACCCACTTCCCAAACGGAGGCGTACTCTATTCCCCACTTATCCGAAATATTATCCTCTTTTTTTCTTTTCTTTTTTTTCGATGTTGTCTGCAACGCAACATACGGATGTGACAGTATATATTATTGAATAAATTACAAATACACCATCTGAATTTTATTTAAAATATAAATTATTCTCTGTGATTTGAAAAATTATAAATATCTCTTTGTTAATATTTTTTATTTAACAGAATTAACTAAAAAAATAAAATTTATAATTGTTCTCTTATATAATAATAAAATTATCTAAATTCTTAATTGAAACATATTTCTAGTATCATTAAAAACTGTTAATTGACTTGATGATTTATTAATAAAAGGGACGATTTGTTATGAAATTAAAAATCTCAAGGAATGGAATACAATTTCTAAAACTAAAAAGACGACTCGCATTTTAATTAAATATCAAGAGTGTATTTATAATTTACCCTATAGTATTTGATAGCCTTGAAACAATTTTTAATACTATTTATTACTGTAACAACTCTCACCACTTTTACCGATAAACTACTGATTACTGCTAAACTGAGACTGATTATGAAAAGTAATTGAACTGATTGAAACACTGAACTGACTGACTGAAATTTGAAACTGATTGATTGACTGTATCTGTTTAAATGCATTATCTATCTGTTTGACTGTTCGATTATCTGTTCATGTTTTATGTTTAAATTGCGAGTTGAAGGCCTTATCGGCGGCCGAATCGGAGATTGATTAGTGTTTCATGATCATCATAATTTATGTGATTTTATGGTGTAATTATCTGAAAACTGATTTGGTATGATTAAATTAGATTAAAATGGGTTAAATTGCATTGTTGACTCAATTACTATTTTGCCATAGTAGTGGCCCACTACTTTACACATATTGAGACTTGTAATACATTGAGCAAACCATTTCCTCAGCCTTATTCATTGTTATTGCCGACTAGAGAGTGAGAATAGGGAGATTGGGTGATTTCATCTAGAATTGCTTGGAAATTAGAGGAATTGAAAGGAGTTCTTGCTAGATTGAACCTCAAGACTAGTAATTAAGAAACCTAGGTATGAATTTCATCCTCTTGATTATGTTTTTAAGTTGATTCATGCATGGTTCATGTCTAATTGAGGAGCTAAGTCATAATTTAGTTCTAACATGTTGAATTATAACTTAATTCATGCATGCATGTTTGAATTGTTGAGTTTTGAGTTGTTTTCATGGCAAAATGTTACATGCATGCTCATAATTATGTTAAGTCCATGATTTCATCTTGTTTTGAAAAGAATTGGCTCCTTGGAGCATGTTTTGGAAGCTTGGAAGCTAGCTAAACTCATGCATGTCATGCTTAGATTATGTTCTTGAAATTTGGTTTGAAAATGAGTTTAATTGATCTTTCTTTGGGCTTTGATTTTACAAATTGAGCTTTGAATCATGTTAAACTATGAGTTTTGAAGTGTTTTCTAGAAAATGAGCCCAAGAGGATCGAATTTGGTGTTTGAAACTTGATTTTGAGCTTGAAGTTTGAATATGGGAATTCCAGATTTTGAACTCACGCTCGAGCGGGGTGACTGGCGCTCGAGCGTGGAAATCGTGCTCCCAGCATTTTATTCTGTTTTTAAGTCAGCTCGAGCGGGACCTTGTGTCTTACGCTTGAGCGGGTGTCGAGCGCCCAATCGAGCGTGGATTTCACCTATCCAGCACTTTTGACTGTTTTGCAGTACGCTCGAGCGGAAACCTTTGTCTGCATGTCCGCTCGAGCGGATTAACCTACGCTCGAGCGGGACCCCTGTTTTCTGAAAATTCTGAAAATGCTTTTAAAGTGTATCTTTGCATCCTCATTTCATCCTAGGCATTCTTAGGCCTAGTTTAAGGCATCTTAATGAGGATATAGATGTAGAACACACCGAGGCAAATTAGGGATTAAGCTTTTATCTTTCCCAACTATGTAGCTTAGTGTGTGTTCAATCTGTAAATTGTGTAGGGTTGGCGACTGGGGATGCGCTCTAGCTTTACTGCAGCCCAGAACTCTGTGAGTAACAACTGTGTAAAGATATGTTCAAAAATGATTATCTTCTAAACAATTGAACTGTACTGTTTCTGAATTGATACTGTTAATAGAATGAATGTGTGTCCTTTATTCTGAACTGTATTGTGGCATCCTTAGCAACTACTGTTACTGGCTGTTACTGTTACAGAGATCTCTGTCGGTTTCCTTGTTGGAACCACTACTGTTTACTGATTGATGGCCATCATTGACTGTTCGGTCTTTCAAGACCTACTGTTTACTATACTGTTATGCTAATGGATGTACCACATATGATTGTATTGACTGAACGACTGATATACTAATTTAATGAACTATTTTCATTACTGCAAAGACATTCATTCTTAACCTCTTTACGCATTATGTTATTCACTGGGTTTTAGCTCACTTCTCATATATATATGTAGGTGTTCAGGCACCAGACCGCAGCTAGAAGCGTCGGGGTTAAGCTCCAGTTTTGTCAAGCCAACCACTGTGCCTCACTGCGAGGTTCTGAGCCTGTCAAGCTAAGGCTATGGGGTGCTTTATTTTTCCCTCGTCTGTCTGTAACTGTTTTGTAGACTGTAGACTGTTACCGTACTGTTTAATAGGGATTAGGTCCCTGAACTGAATAATTGCATATATGTACATACTGTTTTGTCACTGACTGCATATATGTATGAAAAAGTCTTTTGCATACAGACTGTCACAGTTCATTGGACATTGTTTTTTTACTGTATTGGCTTCCTCTAGGCCCCTGTACTCTATTTTACTGTATTACTGATAAGCAGGCCTTCGGTAATCTCGGATTACTGACCGATTACGGTGCTAAACTCATAGGGGCGGATTTGGGTCGTGACAATTACATGACATGATATGTGTCATATTGTGTTCTTAAAATCAATAAAACTATTTAGCTTGCTTGTTTTTCAAACCAAACCCAAACACATTAGGATTCCCTATTCCATCAATAAAAATTAGTTTGTAATGGTAACACTAAGTTTTAGTTTAAAAAAAAAAAAATTAAAAATCACTATAAAAAATTAATTATTCTCTTTATTTTGCAACACGTCTTTTTTAAAAAAATTAAAAATCTAAATTCTCAAAACAATTCTAAAACTGTATTTGATTCAAAGATTTGAGCAGAGATTTGAAAAGAAAAAAGAAAAAAAGACGATAAAACGTGAATAAAATATACTGATATTTCACTTAATTTTATACATTATTTCTCTTTCATTTTTTAAATTTCTCCCAAAATTTGTGAATAAACATAGCTAAGTGAGTAGAGTTTGAAGAGATTGAAGTGCCCTGCCTCCAAAGGAGAATTGGTTGTTTGACAATGGTTTATCACCTATTTTGCCATGACTTGAAAGCATGGATAGTGACATTTAACAAACCTTTCTCCTCAAAGTCGGTTTCCATCAATATTTTTTTCCTGCTTTCAACATCTTATTGGTGAATGGGTTACAAAAAAGTCCACTGTTAACAGTCAAGGTTCATTTACGGAATTTCAGCTTCAATGCTAGTGTTAAAACTTTTGTAATTGTGCTTTAAAGTCATTCTGTCATCACTTTAAAAAACATATTATTGGAAACCGATTCAACAATTAAACCTTTATAAATTTATTTTTGCTCTTTATTTCAAGTAAAACTTCTTTGAAGTATCAACTAATGGAGGAACGACATTAAACAATCTGTCATTTTTATTAATTTTTTCACAAATAAGAAGTTTTGGATTCAATTCAAGGGAAATTCTAATATACATCCTTTTAAAAATGGTATACTATATGCACTTTTAATTATGTTATTTTTTTCTTTAGTTATAATCAATTTTTTTCTTCAATTATGACATTATTTTAATTATAACTCATTAGTTATATAGTTATGCCTCATGTTTTTATTTAGTTATGACATTTTTTTTTTGCTATGACTTAAAAAATTAAAATTATGCTATTTTTTCTTCTTGACTATAAGGTGTATATGGTGTACACGGTGTGCACCATAGTATTTCCCTCAATTCAGATATAATAAGGATTATCATATATAGCACAAAATTTCTCTATCTTTAAAAGTTAGTTTTTGTACGACCCTCAATTGGAATTTGGAAAAGAAAGCTTTTTTGGATAGCTGAAATATCTTGGATGGAGTCCTTATTTTGAATGAAGTGGTAATTGGTTGAAAAAAAAAAAAAGAAGAAATATTGCTAAAGATAGATTTTGAAAAAGGGTAAATTGATTTTTAAATTTTTTTTTATTTTCACAATTTCTCGATGAAATTTTTCAAAAGAGTGTTGTCCTTGGTAAAGATAAATTTTGCTAAAGATTAATTTTCATAAAAGTGTTGTCATTGGTGTGAAAATTTGTCCTTTCTTCATTCAATTAACAAACTTTTTAACAGATAATTTTAATTATCCTACTATGATGCTCTTAATCAATGACTTTACCAACTTATAAGTTTCTCTCTCTCCCTGATGAAATTTTTTGAAATTCACATTAAGTTTTTTTACTTTTTCATGTCCTTAAAAATTAAATAATTTGAAAAAGACAAATTAAACCGCTTAAAAAAGTCATCATAAAAGTAAAATATAAACCAAACCAACTAGTTTTTTTAAGCATTAATTTATTCGTGTATTTTAAGGCCTCGTTTGGAAATCAAGACAGACAACTCAATTTATTCCACTTATAAACAAGAAGTCTTAATTTGCACATGAGTATTATTATACAAACCAAATATATATATAGAAACTAACTATCCAGAATGATGTGTCTTATGGACGGAAAGCCCTTCATTTTACCAGTTTCCTCACAACTAGAATCTGCAGCATATAGCATATCACACAATATGATCTACTCAAATCGGCTTCCTCACGACGAGAACTGGGCACTTGGCATGGTGAACACAGTAATTGCTGACACTTCCCAGAAAAACCCTGTCTCAAGTTCCAAACATTTGTGTTAATATCCAAAATATGATCAGCTTTCATGAAGGAAACTGAAAAGAAAGTAAAATATGCAAATGCAAAAATCATAAATTCAATGGAACAGGAAATGAATAATAAACGAAGAACCAAATTTAAACCAGGGGGAGTGCATCATCAAGAGTGTTGTTTCCATTGCATTTCTAAATTTCTAATTGCCATCACATTTGGCAATGGTAGCCAGAAGAACACATTGTAAAGAAGCAAAACATTGATTAATTTAAAAGCATATCAATAATAATGTCAATTTCACTAGTTTCACATTGCGCATACTGCAAGACACTCTTCATTCAACTGATCAGTATCATACTCTAGACTATGGTTTCATACTAAGAAGCATGGAAACAAGAACAAGGACATGAATACGAGCACATAATATGACGATTTTGAAAAAATCAGCATACGGATACGTAGGGAAACAACAAAAAAATAAAATAAAATATATTTATTTGCTATGTATCTGAATATAAATATGGGGAACTAAGATACAAGAGACAACCATGAATATGTAGGGCACTCAAATCAGCTTTCAATTTTTATATTTTTTTTTAGGAAAAAAAAAAAAAAACCTCACAAAAATGTCCCGAGGTGTGTCCCTAAAGTGTCCCGCAAAAAAATAATAATTAAAAGAATTGACACACAACGTGGCATGTCAGTGTCCCATACCAGTCCGACACAGACACGACACTCAATTTGATGGGTCAGTTCTTCATAGGTTTCATACGCATGGCCTTCAATTGAAGGGAAAATGAAGATAATAAAATGGCACTAACCTTTTCAGAGCTCCTTTACTATGGCTGCCCAATATAAGCAATTGGATGTGGAGCTTTTCCACTGTTTCACATATGGTCTCTTTCGGATTTCCAGCTTCTGTCATTGTCTCTGCAACTACCTGTCACAAAGTAAGTTATAATTTTAGCTACATTTAAACCTCAGGTGGATTTTCTGTTGAACTTCTACTACTTCCATACATTCAGGTCAGCAACAATATATCAATGGAAAAAATAAAAAATACAGTTTAAGAATTTTGACAAGCAAAGGCATGCACAAAAGACAGTCTCATCATCTCAGATGTGTGTCTTTGTGTGATATTACAAGTCAAAATACTAACAGCAGTTACGTCAATAAGTTTCAGCAGGCAACTCAATATTCTACTTGTCCTCATCCTACTTGACTTCAGGAAACAAATTACAGTTAACACGAAGGTCAACAACTATAAATTATATCTTGTCATCTTCACATGGTCAAGTATGTAATTTCAAACAGTGATTTTCCAAAGCCAGACAACACAGACGATGAGCATACTTCCCAGAGAGGAACAATGTAACAGAATCAAGATTTAAATAAATGAACAATGAAACGGAAAAATAAATAAATAAATAACTAAACTAAGAGTGGGTAGGGGAGCAGGGGAAGAATAAGCTACTTCGGTCATCATGACTCATAAGTAATTCACAGAATTTGTTATGTAAAATGAATCTCGTTTGTTTTAATGCAAGACTAACAAATTGAAAATAATGTTACTCTTATGAAAGCAGCTCCACTGCAGTCACAAATAAGTAACTTCCTATTGAAAGTGTACCGCCTCCATCTATACTAAGTAATCCAACCACCAAGTGGCATCATATGCAAAGTTTTAAGCAATGGTGGTAGCCGCCGTAATGGTAACAGTGGCATTGATGTAGTTGCAGGGTGCAACAGCTGCAGCGTGACAGTCACTGGAGCTGTGATTTTTTTATTTTTTTGCACAAATACTAAAAAACTTACAAATAAACAGTTCAATTTCAAAATCACATTTAGTAGGTTTTAAAATTATTTTTGATGGTTTAATATTAAAAATGATAGTCTCACGAACATAAGTTCATCATATAAAATGCCAACATACTAATGTAAAAGTACGTAACATGATATCCATGCTTTGTTTAACAAATCTAACCTAAATCCAAATGGACTTGAGTTCATAATCAAGGAATCAAGTGAGAAACTAATTAAAGTTTATTGATGAAAGAACAAAAATAGTGAATGATTAAAAAAAGAAGAGGAGAATGAAGCTAATCTAACCTTGATAGCAACTCCAATATTCTAGAACTTTTAGATTGGATACTCCAGGCATGTAGATCAAAGATTTTTGCACAAGTTTTACATGGCTTTTCTATGATTTTAACACATTGAAAAAATAAAAATGAGAAAAAGTGATCTCATATACAAAATTTGTTGAAAACAGAAATGCAACTGATGTAATGGTTTTGTAATGGTCATTACAACATTTACGTGCAGTGGTCATTATGATTGTGAATTTAGTCACACTGATATAGTGGTGGTAACCATCACGTAATGGATGTGGCCCATTTTTAAAACCCCGATCATATGCCATTCATGGATTGTTGGCCTTCCATTGCACAAGCCACCAGCATTTTTATGTCTCATAAGAAGATAACAAATGTAGTTCCACAAAGTATGCTACGAACTTTACTGTATGCAATATATACCAGCCACAGAGCTATGAAAAAAAGTATCAAAAAGCCATGATATCATCTGATTCTTTGTTTATTGGTTGGGATTGTATCACCATATTCACAACCAATACTTTTGTTATCAAATTCATTATGCAACTTAAGGTCAAAGAACCATTGATAAAGCTATACCCCATATTTACTGCAGATGTCCTTAGCTTTCTCTAGCAGAGCCAGGGAAACCTTCTTCTGATTTTCTTGGAAATTTCTAACCAATTCGGGGGCTGCAACAAAGGATAATGAAAAATAAAATGAATAAGTAAATAAAACACAATGTGAGATACCCAATTTGTATTTGCCACACTTCAATATTTCAACACCATTTAATTGAATTAGTCTAGCCGAATAAAGGCCTAGAAGGATTGATGCAGTGGAAGCAAGAATCATCCAGTAGGCATATGGAGCCCTTGTGTATACTATTCACCAGAAACATACGATTCTAATCTCAGGTACGAATGTCTATGTAACCAAAACATTTGTACACTACATCCTTCAAAACTAATACTTTTCCAAATAAAGAAAAACTTACAGGGTATTAATTTTTGCGCCAAAAAAAATATAAAAATAAATAAATTGTGATGAATCAAAATCTGATGGTTAAAGTGCTTAAGCCTGCCAATGAATTGTTCGAATAGAAGCTTACTAGGTTCAACTTGACAGCAATTGTGAATTAAGGGAGTGCAAGCACTTTGGTGCTTTGCCAAGGGTGGGGAGATTTTCTCCCTTAGGTGCTAATCTAACAACTAACGACTAACATTTGTCGATAAAAAAAAAAAAAACTTGACAGCAATTGCTTTTATCTTTCTTGACCAGAATTGATTGGGGTTTCCCTTTAATAAATGGGTTTTCTTGGTCTGGTGGTTTCTCCTACCCAAATGACATCCCTATTGCCAAGGGAAGGGGTGGAAGGAGAAATCAATGGCTCCATAGCCTCCATTAACCTTTTTATGTAGAATTTGTCTATAAAATCCTATCATCATAGAGTCATTAAAGAAAATATTAACCATATCTGTTAGTACGCGACCAATTCACTCCAAATTTTGCACACCCACTCTACAATCCACTCACAATTACCCAACAAAAATATCCATAAAATGAAGCATATGGTACATATTTAAAAGTTGATGCAGTGTGTGCCACACTCAAAATGTATTTAGCTATATACTGAAATTTTTTAGTACTGACAGTTAACTAAAAAACTATCCTTACGTTAAAAAATAATACCTGCCATCTCTCCCTAAATATAATTCATGTTGAATTAGGATGTAAAACTTAAAACACAAAACAAACAAACTAGCTTCAAGCTTATGGAGAACAATTATAAAACTTAATGAATCTAATATATTTTTTTTGTTGTTGAAATATGGATATGTTAAAATTCTTCTTTGGCAATAGGGTCACCCTTTAAATTACTCTAAGTTCTGCAATTGTAAGTTTAATGTAAATCCATCCAGATTGAAACTTTATCTGAGAATTGAAATTGCGAATTGGTTTCAAGAAACAGAACAATCCCAATTTCTTGGTCATGAAGAACTATAATAACAGAGTGATTTGGCCGCATATACAAAGAAATAAATAAAAACAGAGCAATATCAAATAACAAAGCAATCAAAAGCAATCAGAGAGAGAGAGAGAGAGAGTACGAGTAGCGCCATAAGAAGAGGCATATAAATAGCTGTAATCAGCAATGGGTTGAACGGTGAAGAGGAAGAGATCGGAGTTGGCGATGGAGTTGGAGAGGTTTTGGAGAGCCCAGTCGAGAGCATAGTGACTGCACTCGCTCTCATCTATAGCCACCATCACCTTCTTCTTCTTCCCAGTACTGCTTCCCTGATCTTCCTCCATTTTTTCAGAATCGCAAGGCAAGGGGTTTTTTTTTTTCGATCAATTTTGCACGCCACTTGTTTGTATTTATTTGTTGAAGAAAAAAGTTGGAGTTGGAGTGATGTAAATGTGCAGATATCTGTGTGCTCGTGCAGTGCAGCCGATAAAACCGGGGTTTATCCGCAACCTCAATGCAACTAACAGTCATCAATCGACCCACCACGGTTCACGTGCTCTCCCTAAGTCTAACCTGAACGAAACAATATGGGATTGGATTGGCCAATACACAATCCACATTTGTCAGGTGTAACGCTTAAAATAGAAGAGAAATACAATAAATTAATTATTTTGAAATTATTTATAATTATCATTTTACGGTTTCAATTCCTTCTAACAAGAGTTATTAATAAATCCTAAAGGTTGAAAATGTATTCTATTTGGTCCTAAAAATATTCTTTTAATCGGTTTGGTCCTTTCCATTGTGGAAAGACATAAATACCACTAGGTGCGCTGCTGCACCGCCCAATACATGTGTTTGGTGATTTTGGTGCGCGTGGTGGTGACGTGCCACTTTTTCATGTTTTAGGTGTTAGTAGGTGGCTATGACTTGCCAATTAAGACTCTTATGGCATGTTTGATTGGAAGGATTAAAGCATGGGATTAGGATTATTAATCCGTGGGCCCAATCATCCTATGTTTGTTTTGACATTTTAATTTAGGACTATTAAATGGATAATTAATCCAACAAATTTGTAGGATTATTAGTAATGGGGTAGGGGTGGGATAGTTAATACCACACTAATTTAAGAGGATTATTAATACCTCACTATTAGTATTGTGAATCAAACATGACCTTAACGTATTATGTATGATGTATCACTTTAAAAAAAAAAAATTATTAATGTGACAGATATTATATGATACTCTAATGTATTAGGTATTAATATGATATTCTAAATAATTGAAAAAAATTTAGTGTATTTTTTATAAATGTGACAATATGGCGGATATAATATGACATTCTAAAAATTTTACTCCAAAAAAAAAAAAATTTTTTAGTGTACTTTTTTCTAATGTGACAACTTGACAGGTATGGTGTGATACTTCAAAAAAACTACTTAGTGTACTTTTTCCTAACGTGACGGGTATGATATGACACTCTAAAAAAAATTAAAAACTCCTTAGTTTATTTTTCTCAAACGTGATAACGTAACATAAATGATGTGACACCAAAAAAAAATTAAAAACTCTTTAGTGTACTTTTTACAAACGTGACAACGTGACAGATATGATGTGACACAAAAAAAAAAATTTAAAACTCCTTAGTGTACTTTTATCAAACGTGACAACGTGATAGATATGATGTGATACTAAAAAAAATTAAAAACTCCTTAATATACTTTTCTTAAACGTGACATGTGACACTCTAACGTGGTGGGTATGATGTGACACTCTAAAAAAATTAAAAACTCTTTAATGTATTTTTTCAAAATGTAACATTCTAACGTGACGGGTATGATGTGATACTAAAAAACTGCCATAATGGATAAACATGGAGGAAGAATGAGACACATGCATAACTGTACCACAGCCACTGCAAAATGAATGAACTATACGTGGCAAGTTATGCAATTGAAATGTGTGGCATAGTATACAAAAACCCTAACGTAATGATGTGAATGTTTTGTACTGTAATATTTCAATTACCAAATGTTTGGAAGTAATCCCACCAAAATCGTAAAACGGAAAAAAGAAGGGTATAATTGACCACCCAATGTTACCAAACAAAGCAAATAAGATTAACTGATAAGATATTCCCCCACTAATTAGACTAATCAGGACATTAGAAATAACATTAGAATCAATTGGTAAAACTATTTGTGAGATGATATTTATTGATAAATATCCTTTCATGGTATACATAGATTTCACATTATCTAAATTCAATTCTAACAGCACAGTCTCTTTTGGATAAATTTAGAAGAGTTCCGTTAGATGGGATACATAAAATTATTCATAAAAAGAAAGGTATTTGTCTTGGTTTATATCACTTGTACGAATAAATAAATAAATAAATTTGCTATTAGCATCTCATTAATTATTTTATACCTTATATTTTTTGAATCCTTACTTATAAATTTTAAAACCCTTAAAATTTCTTTTCTCACCTTAAATAATATCAAAATTATCCTTCTAAAAACATTCCACCCATTCAATTGAATGCACATCCCCACATCCCAAAAAACCTCTTTCCCAAAAATCCTAACAAAATCTACGAAGGTGATTACTATTTCATCTCTACATACTTGTTCATGACCTAAGAAAATAAATGTAAGATTTTTTGTTAATTCAACATTTCCCTTTTGTGGGTTCTACGATCTTCATGAGTTTCGATTATCTGTTTTCGAACAAATAAGAAATATTCGGTTACCCGTTCCCGAACAAATGAACAATGTTCGAGCCTATGTTCCTGAATTTCGGTTATATGTTTGGTAGTTCAGTCCCAAAAAAATGACGAATAGTTTTTATTATTTTTACTATTTTCTTTTTCTCCAGAAATTTACCCTTACAATGCTAATCATCTCTGAGCTAAAAACATCATCAAAGTTATGAACCTCCGCTGAACTTTTATAGTTTGTACTCCTCTTGTCTCACAAAGTTGTGGTTGCTGAAAAAATTTTCACTCATTGTTATTATCAGAGAAGTGTATGTAATTAAATGATTGTTACCATTACTACTGCAATATCAAATGATTTTCAAGGTTTTGAGGGTAGTAAGTTTTGAAGATGGGATTTGGGAAAGATTGATGGATAGCAATGGAAGTAGATGCTCTCATAAACCCTAACGGATGATGTACTATGTGTGTAGCTCTCTAAATAAAAATGAGTGAAATGATGAGAAACTCATTTCTCTTATCATTTTTTTTTTAACTTATGTAATTATTTTATTTTTTTTCTCCCCTAAATTTTCAAACATAGCGTACGTAGTTCAGCAAATAAAAAATTATACTTAATTCCTAAAATAAATTCAGATGGTGTCTTAACTTCAATTTAATTAATTAAAATAGTGAAATTTATTATTTTTGTGTCTCATTTTGGAGAAACAAACAACAAGATAAGTGTTCATATATAAGCAGTGTACTCCAACTTCACTAAATAACTTCTCATACTACAAGGGTGATGTGCCCCTCCGCAGTGTTTGTCTCGGATCTATCTAGATAAGTATAATTAAATTAATTGTAAATAAGTAATTACTGGCATATTATTCGTGCTATGCATGTGTATGAATAAATAATTAAAAATTAATTTTTAAATAAAAATAAAAATATAAAATTTAATTAAAATATGTTGTAAAAGTGATTTATAATCAATTAAATTTTATTAGAGTTACACTAAGAGAAGATTTTTATTCTAATGTCATTAATTGTATATTATAAGTTCTTAATAAAAATCTGCATGTCATAATTTAATTAGTAACATTTAAATAATAAATTACAAAAATTTTATTTACAATAAAATATAAATACATTTTATTTTATAAGTTTCATAATTTTAATTTACCATATGATAGTAATAAATTATATTTTTAATATACTATTTATTTTGTAAAACCCAAAAATTTGTTTACTTAAAATTGCTTCAAAAATCTTATGTGAAAATATATTAGAATTGACTTGTGGTGTTGGATTAAATATTAGAAGTGACCTGAAAGCTAGTTGACTGAATATTTATGTCAATGTGACATTCACCTAGTCATTAAAAATTGTCTTCATTATTCAAAATTATCTTTATTGGTTTGTAACCGGTATGAGTTAGTTTGAGGGTTCTAATATTAGATTAAATATTAAAAATGAGTCTAGAAAATTTAGTTTGAGTTGATTTTTTTCCCATCAATTCTTGGTTTGAGCCTATAAGACATCTTATTTTCATAACTCAATATGATAAAAAAAACAATAATCTTAATGTTTACGGTGCTTTTTGTCAATCAATAAAAAAATATTTATAAATATTAAGAGAATTACATTTGCACAAATTCTAACATAAATTTTTTACTTTAAAACTCTAAGACCTATACATTTTGTTTGATTCTATCTATATCACTAATCTTTGGAGGTTTCATGATTTTTTTTTTTTTTAATGGAATGTCTGTTTGCTATAATATAGATATATAGATTGGAATATTGATGCATATAAAATTATTAAACATCAAGAAAAAAAAAAATCTATGAAAAATGTAGATTAATTCCTATATTTTAGTAGTTTAAAAAATTCAAATTCAAATTTATATTTTAGTTAGCTTTCCTTTTCAATTTCTAAATTTAAATTTTTAAATAAATTAACTTTCTTTTTGAAACATGTAAATCAAGGCATAAAAGTTATTTAAATTTTTATATAGATTAACTAACTTTCTTTTTAAATTTAAATGTTTAAATAAATTAATTAACTTTCCTTTTGAAATATGTAAATCAAGGCATAAAAGCTATTTAAATTTTTAAATAGATTAATTAACTTTTCTTTCAAATTTAAAATTTAAAATTTAAAATTAATTAATTAACTTTCCTTTTGAAATATGTAAATCAAGGCATAAAAGCTATTTAAAATTTTAAATAGATTAATTAACTTTCCTTTTAAATGGATTAATTACTATTTTTTAAATGATTCAATAAAAGTTAACCAATAATTTTTTTTAATTATTTAAAAAATAAGAATTCTAGAAAAATAGCATGAGGGTTTTGAACTTCACAAGGGCCTTCTCATTAAAAACTCCATTTTACTTATATAATATATAGATATGATTGGATTATATTCTCAAAATTATGGCCCTATTTGATTTCAATTTTAGAATTAATTTTCTAAAATCTTTTAAAGAAATAGAAGTTAATTTGACAAAAATAAATACTAAAAATATATATTTCTTACTTTAAAAATTATTTTCATATTTAAAAATGTCAAACTATAAAACTATATGAAAATGATAAGTGTTTTTTTATTTATTAGTATTTTCACTAAATCAAATTTTACCTTTTTTCAAAAAAAATAAAAAAATAAATTCAGAAAGTAGATCCTTAAAAAAAAAAATAAAGCTAAGCCGAATTTAAGTGATCATGTGTTACAGATCAATTTAATTTTTTAAATAGATAATTTATTTAATAGACCCTACAAAATTAACAACATAAATCATAATGGTAAGTCCAAGATATGCCCACCAGACTTCCAAACCCAAAGTTGCAAGTATATGGCGTATCGCATAGCGTTTTGTAATTCTAAAATCTCTCTTAAAAATTAAAAAAAATACAGATATAATTATATTAATTTTTTTTAAAATTTTAATTCACATAACATTTAATCTTATTTTTTATTAATAATTTGTTAATTAAATTGATAAAAAATGATGTTGTCAAATTCTTATTTTTTATTAATAATTTGTTAATTAAATTGATAAAAAATGATGTTGTCAAATGTTTTACACTAAAATATATATGTTTTGAAAAATTGTTGATAAATCCACGCTCGTGGTGCATGAAGCATTAGGTTCAAGGATTTTTTTTGATATTTATAAGGATACACTACAATAATATACATTTTTGGCGATCAAATTTGACGACTAAAAGGGATTTAGTCGCCAAAAGTTCAATTTTTGGCGAACTAAAAATTATTTTGGTTGCCGTTGGTTCAGGTTTTTGCTACTAAATTATTTTAATCGACATATATTATTTATTGGCGACTAAAAAGAACATTAGTCGATAAATTTTTCACAATAGGCGACTAAAAAAATTATTGGTCGCCGTTACTTTAGTTTTTCAGCTACTAAATTTTATTTTAGTCGTAGTGTAATAATTTTTGCCGACTAAAATAAATTTAGTCGCCAAATAATAGTTACATTTGCACTGTTACTCTTTGGCGACTAAGAATTTGGTCGGTAAATATGCAATTTTGGTGACCAAAAAATATTTAATCGCGGAATACTCAATTTTTTCTGACAAAAGAACAATTAGTGGCCAAATAGTGAACTTATGGTGACTAAAATGTGGGCAAATATATTACACACCCAGATTTTATTTTATTTTTTTTGAACAGATACGCACCCAGATTTAGGCGCCCATATATTTACATCCCTTTCCTCTGTCTCTCTCTCTCACAAAGAACCTCACATCTTCTCACTTCACCGAAGTCCCTCGCCACCGTTGCTGACGTTCGTCGTACATCGCCACCGCCACCGCCACCGCCGCAATACGAACAGGTTCTTTATCTTTCTCCTCTCTCTCTCTTCCTCTATTTCTCAATTTCTCACTCTTGCTCTAGGGTTTTACATGATTTACTAGGTCTAATTTCGTGTTGATTTCTGAAATGGGTTTGGTTTAAATGGTTTGATTTCTAGGGTTTTATGGGTTTGGTAATAATCAATTTCTTTGCCTAATTTTGGGGCTATTTTTTATGACTGAACCCTTATTGTTGTTTATTGGGTAGACAAATACAAAAAATTGGTTTTCATTTGCATATGGATGGGGTTTGCTATTTTTTTATGATTTAACCCTTAATTTCATTATCCTATGGTTGCTTGATTTAGAATTCTCTTGGCTCTCTGTGTCTGAGTTTGGTTTGTCCTCATATTGAATTGGATTCGTGGTTGTTGATTTGTACTTTTCATACATTTGTTCTTTTCCATGAATTTGTTCTTCCTGTTATATCTTTCGCTCTCCAATTGTTTGATGCAATGCCCGAATCAAAAATTTACTTGCTATGTGCATATATTGAAAATTAAATGTAGTGGCTATTTGTACTGATATCATAAAAAGAAAAAGAACAACTGTATACAATAAATAGAAAACAATGGAGGATCTTTGTAACTCCCACCCATGGTATAATGTTGGCAACGGTAAGGACTGAGGAGTGAATTTGAAGAATGGCTTCATGTTGGATTTTGATGTTTTTAAACAAATAATGTAAAGACAATGTGTTGTGTAATCCTTTACTGGAACTAATAAATGTCCAAACTAACTGTTGTTGTACAGTTTTATGTTGTTTTTTTCCCTCTCCCCTTTTATAAAAATCCATGCCTCTTGCAATGTATATCGGATTTTCGCTCTGCTCTTCTATGATTTGTTTGTGGTGTTACTTTCACTTGAATTGGATAGACATCATATATCTTCATAAACATTTATGTCCTTGTTTCCACTATAACCCTTTTATGTTATGGCTATGGACTTCTTCTTTTTCCCAAATTTATATGATTTGTGTTTTTGCCCCATCATTAATTAATTCCTGCTCACCTAAACTTCGCGCTCCAAAGTAAGAGACTTGTGAAAAAGTGGTGTTACTTTCACTTGAATTGGATATACATCATATATCTTCATAAGCATTTATGTCCTTGTTTCCACTATAACCCTTTTATGTTATGGCTATGGACTTCTTCTTCTTCCCAAATTCATATGATTTGTGTTTTGCCCCATCATTAATTAATTCCTGCTCACCTAAACTTCGCGCTCCAAAGTAAGAGACTTGTGAAAAAATTGCTCCCATATGAGATAAATAAATAAATCTCACATAAACAAAATAAGAACAATTCAAACTTATTCTATTAGTTTCTATTTACTTAATGTTTATTTATACATAACAAAGACAATTTATAGTTAGACATCAATCTCTAATATTTTCACATTTTAACACATATATTACAACTAAGTAGAAAAATTAACACATATATAGAATGTATACATGTTCTCAATGGCACTACCAACTTAGAAACTTCTATACACTCCGACTCCCATCCCTACCCCTTCAGATTCTGTTACTGTTGAAGAATATTTGACTAATTTTCTCTTCACAAATTCACTCTTTGTGTTCCTTAAACAAGCAGTTTTTGGTTGTTCAACGATCGGGTTCTATCAATAACTATCTCGCTTAAATATAAATATTTCGCTCTTGAGTTACTCAGCAGTGAAATTTTTCATTCTTAAGCTAATTAAGCAGAGGCAATAATGAGCTGCATGAATATTTTCAATAGAATGTTTAGCAGAAGATCTGCTGATTAGAAACTTTTATTTCTTTACTCAATATTTAGCATGAATATTTTGGGATGATGCTTATCTGGTTGGAGCTTCAGATGATTTTATGTTTACTTCCAGATGCAATCAGGCACTGGTATGAATGCTTTTACTTATTGCAATAGAAGGCTTTTGTTTGTTAGCACAGTTGCATTTCTGGTGAGGAAACTTTGAGAGGGTACTCCAGTTTATTGCAGTGTGATAAGGCTGTCATCTGTTGTATTTTGCTTCTCTATAGTTTTGAAGCTTTTCTTTTTGTTAGTGCTGAACTGCTTGTTAGGAAGATGTAACAAGGCTTGATGTTAAGCTTTAACTTGCACCCAACAAGCACCTAGGTGAAGAGGTAGAAGTAAATGACGAACTAAGATATGAGATATGGATAAAACACGATAGGTATATGATCACATGGAAATTTTTAAAAAAGACACAATTCTTATTTGAAATTCATGTCCGTATGTCGATGTAGCTAGGAGTCAAGTACTTATGATGGATCGAAATGTATGAGACAAACCTATCTCTTTGAGACACGTGGCTTTATTATGGAAGATCCTTTGAACTAATAAATGGGTTGTTTAGTGAAATTAGTTCATCATTGCTCATAAATGAATTTTTTTAGCAGTTACATGTAGTTAACCAAGATGCCATTATTTTTTTCTTTCGTCCTTCATTACAACTTTAAAGAGTCTTGTTTCTTGTAGGATTCAACGTTGAGACAGTGGAGTACAAGAACATTAGCTTCACAGTTTGGGATGTTGGTGGTCAGGATAAAGTATGCATATTTTTTAGGTTCAAGTGTTTATTGAGTGACATTGTCACCAATTTTGAAGTTCTGGAAATTTTCATATTTTTAGTTGCTGATTTTAGTGTTCAGGACTTAGCCTACATGGGTGCTGTTAACTCTTTAAGAGGTAGTTTGAACCAAAACTGCACTTTTATTAAAAAAATCAATTGGGAAACTATAAATGTAATTAGGGTTGCAAACAAGCCAAGCTGAGACGAGCTTTGCTGAACTCGAGCTCGGCTCGTTTACTTATTAAGCTCATTTATTGAGCTCGAGCTTGGCTTGATAAGGAATTGGGCTCGAGCTCGGCTTGGCTCGGCTCGTTAATATTAATGAAACTCAAGCTTGGCTCAATAGTTTTTTTAATATTATTTAAATAAAAAATATTATTTATATTATTTAATATATAGATAATATATTACATATTATTTAATATATAAATAATATATTTATTATATAATTTAAATAATGATAAACGAGCCGAGCTTATGCGAGTTCAAGCTCGGCTCGTTTGCTAAATGAGCCTAATATTCGAACTCGAGCTCGACTCGTTTACTAAACGAATCAAGCCAAGCAGCTTGTTCATGAACAGCTCGGTTCATTTACAACCCTAAATGTAATAGATTACAGATTGCATAAGAACTCAATGACTATAATGTGTTTAGAGTTTGCTGTTTCACATGAACAACTTTGCTTTCATTTGGTTGAGTGTGTGGCCCTGTTAATGCTGTGAAACAATTGTGATAAATTTTTTTTTTTGTTCAAATGACACTATCATTGAGTTGATCAATTAACTTAACGTAAGCACTTTGTCAACTAATTCAATGACTGGTGTTTTTGAGGTTCACTGTCTTATCTCCTCCTACTGTATGTGTAGGCTTGCTTCTTCAAGAAATCAAAGACTTCTGGCGTGTTGCACTATTGGCTTCTATGTTGTTGTACCCCGCCAACATTGATGTTACTACATATTCATCAGATGAGCAGTTCAAATTGGAGAAGAGATCAGAATCATTTTAGATGATTGAGAATGTGATTATAGAACTAGGTATTCTTGATTTCTCTTTTTATATATGCTATTATCTTCTCAATTGACCTTGAATTTTCTGTTATATTGCTATATCTTATCATAGCTTGCTAATATTATAATATATGAATTTAGTTGTTAACTCCTGATCATACCCTTAAGATGTAAGCTTCATATTTATCTAATTGTCATGTCAAGGACACTTGGACATGACTTTATTTCGTATTTCTTAGTACTTTTTATTATTATCTCAAGGGTAAAATGATCTTTATAAACTAAAATATAGTAGTTTATGCAAGAACCAAGAGTCTAAATTGTTCCTATTCTTTCCCCTCCCCCCTTGAAGTAGATGTATATCTATTTGTGTCCTTACTGACAAAGTAAAAATAAATTTGAGCAGATTCTTCACCCACAGAGTGCACAGGTGTGTGTGTGTGTTGGGAGCTCAAGAGGTGATGTAAATCCCTTTGTCTCAAAACATTTGAGAAGTAAAGAAAAAGAGAAAGGAAGAGAGAACAGCGAGAGAGAGAGAGAAAGAGAGGGAGAAGGGGAAAATTTTGATGGAAAGCTTAGAGGAAAGGCTAAGGTTAAAGAAAGGAAGAACAACAAAGAAGAGAAGGGGAAACTTATCAATAGATTATCGATCAAGAACTCTAGGTAAGGATTATGTGCTTGATTCTTGCAGATTAATTATCTAATAATTAAAATCAAGAAATGATTAGGCTCAATTTCATGTAATTGGAAAGAAATTAGGTTTAATTTGCATGTCATATAGGTAAATTAGAAAGAGGATGAAGAAATTGAGTTAGGTTTAAAAACAAAAATTAAAGGAATTAAGAATTGGTTTCATTTTGGTTCTAAATTCATACCCTGTAAGATATATTTTGCTGCTGCTGTGGACAAATTCTTTGCTGGAAATATGTAAGCTCCCTCAATCTAATATATAGGATAACTAAACTAATAAAATCCCATAATTAAAACCGATTGCTTTATAGTGTATGTTGAAGCGAAGGAAATTGGCATATTTGCAAATTGGGTTCTGTTATTGAAGATAGAGATAAGGGGATACATAAATAAAATTATTTTCTTGAAGTTTTGTCTCTATTTTTCTTATACCTAATGCGTGTTTGTGTGTGTGTTCTTTTTTTTTTTGTAAACCCGGGACTTGCAATTACGTCTTCTATTGGTAAAATGCTCTATCATGTTTACTGTTCCATGCTGGTGTTGAATTTGTGTAGATCACATCACATGACAAAGCCCAAAATTGTGTTGAATTTGTGTATGTCATTTGGGTCCTTATTTGGTATTGACCTTAATTGTGTTGGATTTCAGTTTGTCTTTATTCTTTTATCCATATTACTCCTCCATTTGACCCAATGTGCTTGCATGCCTTGTTCAATGATCTGTGATTTTAGACTCAATCCCTATTTTGTGTAACATCTTTAACTGAAGCTATTACTTTTGTACTCTTTATCTACGACTTAGAAGATTCATGGAATATATTCACTTTGTGGCCTGAACATTAATAAAATGATTTGATCACGTTGATAAATCCCTAGCCAATATCATTACCTTAACCAACAAACCATTATCTCCAAGAAAGCAAGTCAAAGAAAATAACAAGCAAAGAAAATAAAAGTATAAAAAGAGAGCTTAATGACTTGAAAATGCAATTCAATTTCCTTCCAACTTGTTTTGAGACTAGGAGCTATATACATTCATTTAAGTCAATTGACAAAAAAATTAAAATAATCAAGGTTAAATAAATGTCTTTTTACCTATAAAGAGCACATTCTGTTTTAGTTGATGAAAGACTACTGATATGATGTGCTATTATAAAACAAGAAGACAAAGGAGGAAGCCACTAAATTGACTTGCAGTGAAAGTTGCCTAAAATTTGAAGACATTGCACCATGACAGAGGCTTAGGAATTTATTTGGACTCAAAAATGCCTTTGCCCCACACTCCAATTTTCTCCATTTTCAACCGCTGTGAGAATAATATTTAATTTTTTTTCACTGGCAAAGATTTTCAGTTGAACCATGGATAACAGTATTAAAAGATGAATCTAACCTATCGATTCTAGCTTCACTTCCTTTGCACGCACTAGACCAAAGCAATCATTCAAAGAACACTTTGAAAGCCTTCTTTTAAGCACAAAAGTTCATAAAATATAGATGTTGATTTAGAGTTGATTTTGTGTTGTCCCTACTCTACATTTTATTATGTATTACAGGGATTCCTTTTTTCTCTTGGTGATTGTGGACTCGCCTTTTTTCGCGCCCCCCTTTTGGAATGTTTGAAATTAAAGGCCTCACATTTCGGACTCCCGCGGTTCTGAATCTAGTATTATAAGTGTAATGTGAAACTGATAAACACCAAAGAGTCCAAATCTGGCAAATCTTCTTAGAAAATCGATTTTAAATCAAATAATGCCAAAATTGGACTGCTTTGCCAGATACAGAGTCGCCACTTAAATATTTTATTTTTGGGAAAATTTAGGATACCCTGACTCGTGCCAAAGGCCATGTGTCCGTCATCACCAAAGTTGCCTCGGCTCAGGAACTTAGGTATGAGAGGGAAAGGTCACGAATTGAGCACCCTCGCTCGTCTGATCAAAGATCGGCCTCTATTAACCATGATATGATCTTTTATAAACATTGTGTTCTTATTCTAGTTATTAAACTAGTTTCACTATGTGATGCGTACAAGCAAGTATAGACTAGTTTGCTCAATTTGGAACAATTCAACTCATGCTTGTTTACGAAAATGATTTGAATTTGCCACCTCAAGTGGGCTTAAAGATTGTGGATTTTCCACCAAACATAGTGGGCTTAAAACATGATTTGCCACTCAACAAAGTGGGCTTAAAACGCACATTCGTTGAATCGTTCAAATTCAGACAACAAGCCTTCATCCACAGACATTCATACAGTTCAGCAAGTAAGCACATAGCCTCATGGCAAGCATGCTAATCGTAACAACATTCACACTTATGCAAGTATGCTAAAGCGTAAAAACTCACCTAGTACTTCGAGCCAAAACAGAAACTAGTTAGAAAGATGCATGATCCTAACTATACAAGATGCCTAATGCAACAAATGCAATATGCAATTAATAGACTCGGCTTCTAATAAGGCATACAAATTTATTTGAACAACATGCGATTAAACACATATTCAAATAAGATATTGAAATTGCGATGTAGTTTGAATGATGTGTCGAGCCTCGGTGCATGCAAGACAAAATGAATGGATGCAAGCATGCCATATGCTAATTGAAATATGATCTCTAATCTAACCATCAAAAGCAATTAAATAAAAGGAAGAAAGACGTGGGGTTGGAAAACATACACACACCCACGCACACTTATTACAATATTACGCCCTCTCGAAGGAGGGTCCGAATGAATAAGAGCTAAGTTAATCTAAGCTAAGCTAATTAGACTAAATATTACAAACCAAATGAATAACTAGCTAAGCTAATTACTAATTATTACAACACTTTAACTAACTAGTAAACTAATTAATTAATTTACAACACAAATTTACACAAACTAAACATTTAAGATATTAAACTATGCTGCCACTGCTTCACCTCGAGAAGTGGAAAATGCACATGCTCGGCTCTCGCTCAAGAAGGCCACCGTTTTTCTCTCGAAAGCCTCTGTTTACAGGGTTGAACACTTCCAAAATCTTTCTGCTTCACCTTGCCAAATATTCTCTGAGGCTTACATCAGTGGCCTGCCGACAATGGATGGCTGTTGCCGGCCAAAAAGGTGTACTGTCGGCCAAAAATGATGCACTGTCGGCCACTGGTAGTGCATTGCCGGCCACTGATGCATTGGGTCACCATGTTGCAACAGAGCACAAACAGAGCAAAAATGGGGGTTTTCTAAGGATTTGTTTGTACTGTATCCCTCCTTATCATCTCAAAATCTCAAAAGAGTGACACATTTGGATCCAAAACCACCAATCAAGCAAGTTCATTGCATGATGGCCAAAGATCCAAGTTGTACAATTTCGATAAATGCACAAATATGACCAACAAGACCATCACCCTATCATGCATGATCAAGGGCAATGGAGACTAAGGAAAGTGGCACATTTCATCACTTTTGAGTATGAAATGTCCCATTTTTCTTGTGTTCAAACTAACTTCCGGTTTGAACACATGCGATGCAACACAAAGAATGCTTATCTTGCGTCTTTTATTTACCAATTTTGTTTACACATTTTAATTACCAAGTCATTCCTTAATCACTTAGTCCATTAATGAGTGTCCTCTAAATGGAAAGAAAGCTCAAACCAAAGGTTGTTTTAGGCATGAAAGAGACCTCATGCCGTTGGTAATGAATCCCAAAAAGGATTAAGCCATTAAGCACAAACATCTCAATTTCATGCTTTAAACAAGTAAATGGTTTAAACCACTTTCAAAACAAAACAAAACAAAACAAAAAAAGGGAGAAGGTTGCAGATATGATTAGGTGCTGAAAATGAGTACTAAAAGCACTAAAACATGCAACCAACTCAAACCAATGATAGTTAAAGCCTTAAAACACTAAGTTAGTGAAGGAATTAACACTACAACCATGCCATGCAAGGCTCAATAACCAAAAATAGAGGCAATCATGCTTTAAACAAGTAGTTTAAACCACTTTCAAAACAAAACAAAACAAAACAAAAAAAAGGAGAAGGTTGCAGATATGATTAGATGCTGAAAATGAGTACTAAAAGCACTAAAACATGCAACCAACTCAAACCAATGATAGTTAAAGCCTTAAAACACTAAGTTAGTGAAGGAATTAACACTACAACCATGCCATGCAAGGCTCAATAACCAAAAATAGAGGCAAAACAACCTTAAATATAGTCTAAAACATGCTGGACTTAAGCCACAAAAAGCTAAAACAATAAGCTAATACATGGAGTTAACTAGGCATGCAAACAAGACACGAGGGGAGGCTAACCCCTCCAATTTTGGAGTTCAAAATGAGTTTTTTACCACTGAAAAACCTCTGAAATTCAGTGGTTAAAAGACCCAAAAAATTTGGTTTGAAAGTGATGAACAAAGGCACAAAAACCTTTACAAGCAAAGAAGCAAGAAGGGTGAGCTACCCTTTAACCAAAAATGGCCTCAAACCAACACTTTTAAGTCATAAAAATAGAGCTTTCACAATTCAAAACCAACCTCAAAACAATTGAAAGAAGATAGAAAAAAAAACAAGTATTAAAAGCAAGCTAACAAGACTAGCATTCTACCTCTTGAAGCAAAGAACACTTTTAGGCACAAGTTCAAGCCAAAACCACCTCCAAGAAGGCCCTAAGTAACCTCAGTTCAAAGGTGAGAGGATTTGGTTTAGGAGATGTAGGCTAAAGTGTAGAGAAACCAAGCAAACACACACAAATTTGCAAGAGAGAGAGAGAAATCTAGAGAGAGAAAAAAAATTTATGTCTCAAATTTTTCTAACCCCCTCACATGAGAGAGAGGGGTCCTATATATAGAAAACACAAAATTTCCTCACAACAATCAAGCCATACACGTGTTGGAAGATGCATGAATCTGTGCAAACAGCTAGCACAAAATATCACAAAATATCTGCAGGAAACACTGGTAGCCAGCCGGCCATCAGTGATGGCCGGCAAGGCTTGACTGATGGCTGACAGGGCACATCAATGGCCGGTAAAGGAGAAGTGGTGGCCGGTAGCCTCCAAGGATGGTCGGCAAGCCATCTGAAACTTCATGCTGAAAAGACCTAGACATGGTCCAAAGATGAGACAAAATGGATGCAGAGTTTGAAATGCTTAAAGCTGTGGCATTCCGCTAGAGACTTCAAGCGTTCGACAATCAAATAGACTCATGATCGGATGTACCTACAAGAACATCTAAGTCTTAAAGGGCCGTAAAAAATGGGTTGTCTACAGTGATACTTGTTTAAGATTAATCTAAGATGAATAAAGTTTCGAATACGAAGCATTGGTAATCTGTTGAGTTTATTTAATGTTTTATTATCTTTTTATTCATTCAAATGTCCTTCATGGGTTGTGATAATGTCATTAAATTCAATCTAGCTACTTGTGCATTATATTTTTCATTGGCAATCGGATGCCTTCTACATATTGAGAGCAACAGATTTGTAATTGACTATAGTCATAGAGACTATTGATTTTACTTCCTCTGCCATGCCTTTATTATAGTGTTGTTATACTACAAGGTTTTCTCTGATAATTGTAGACCCATTTGATGAGACTTAAGACTTGGTTTGGTTTAATTGTAGCATCTTCTTGTAGCTGCTTATGTTATGTGTGCGGGGCTAGTTTGCTTTTCTATAGTAGTAGGAAATATGCATTTGTATCTGTATTTTTTTAAAAAATTTTTGCCTTGATAAGATGTCTCTATATTTGTATTTATGTGTCTCTAAGGGTACTTTGAGGCTTATGCTATATTTGTTTTGTCCCTCTGTAGGTCGAACTTACTTAAAATGGGTAATAGACAAGGAGTATGATTGGTCTCCTAAATGCTGCCTATGTCATGCTGTGATTGAAAAGGAGGCTGATCCTCAAACTACTCGATTGGGTTGCTTGCGTATGTGATCATGCCGCATATTGTCAAACTTCATACATGCAAATTTTTTCTTTACATGCAAGCAACCTGAACTTATATTGAATAACTTCTTTCTTCTTATTTGTTTTGTATGAAATTATTATTGTAAGTTGGAATGTACTTGGTTTATATGCAATGTTGACATTAAAAGTTATTCTCTTGTTTGGATGGTTGTAAGTGAAATAGATGCAGATTGTGGAATGAGTGATAATATATATGTATTGTTTTGTTTGTATATCTATTACAAGTTGCATGAAATACATACAGGTTGTGGACAAATTAATTAAAATAAATAAAAAAAACCATAAAATCATGTTTTTGGCGAGTAAACAATTGGTAACAAAAAATGGTGTTAAATATTTTTAGCGGCTACATAGTTAGTAGCTAAAAAAGAATTAAATGGGAACAAATCTTTTGGCAACTAAATATTTAGTAGTCATTTAAAAAAGACTTTAGGCAACTAATGATTTAGTAGCCAAAAATTATATAAAAAAAAAAGAAAAGGAAAAAAACTTTTGGCGACTAAATATTTAGTTGTCAAAACATAAAAATTATATGATAGACGACTAAAATTTTAGTAGCTAAATAAAAAAACTACGCTTTAGGCGACTAAACTAATTAGTAGCTAAACAATAAATTAGACTTTCGGCGACTAAACATTTAGTCACCCTAGATACCTCAAGTTTTAGCGACAAAAATTTTAGTAGCTGAAAATGTGATGTTAAATTAAATTGAAAGCTTTTGGCGACTAATCTATTAGTCGCCAATTTAGCCTAATTAGCGACTAAATATTATTTTGTCGCCAATACATTTACTTTTAGTGACTAAAAAATTAGTAGCCATTTATAGGACTTTTGGCGACTAAAGATTTTTAGTCGCCAATATCTTCCCTGACAATCTTCCCGCGACAAATCTGACGACCAAAATATTTAGTTGGGAAAGTTTTTCGGCGACTAAAATCTTACTTTCGGCGATTAAGTGCAATTTCTTGTAGTGATACACGCATGACATTTCATTGTTGGTAATTAAAGACATATGGTGGCAAAGACAATTCTTGACATTTTTATTCCTTTTATGTATATTTTGTGCTAAAATTTTTAAAATCTCATAACTTGACTTGTGCAATTTATTTTTAACAAAATTAATATTAGTAGATTTGTTTTTTTTTTTTTTGTAGATATTTAAAAAAAATCAATATTAAATATGAAATTTTAAAAAATGAATAGATTGATTTTTCAATTAATCGAAATAAAACAATAACAATTTTTTTTTTTGGAAAAATAAGTGCTTGAATTTGGCAGTTTAAGATAAATTTATTTTGAAAAAATACATGGAATAAAAAAAAAAAATCATCCAAAACAAATTACTGAGCACATAGTTATAAAGTTTTAACATCGTAAATGAATTTATTTTTTATTTTTTATTTTTTTTTGTACAATGAGCCTTCAGTTACCTATCTGTCTAAATTTTTTTAATTTATATGGAGATGATTTTTTAACACTTTTTTTTTATCAAATTTAAATTAAGAATTGAAAATGATCAAAACCAAAACATATTTAGTAAGGGTCAGGAAAAAAGAAAAAGAAAAAGTGAAGTTACCAAATTAGTTTGGCCCAAAAGTTAAGTAGATTTGGACATGCTAATAGGTTTCTAAGGTCTCGTTTGTCAACTATATATTTTAGTCAAAAAGTCACTATAAGTTATCAAATCATTCTCTCTACTTTTCTGCACATTTTCTCGTAAAAAGCTAAAAATTACTAAAATAACTTGTTCCCAAACGAGGCCGAGGCTTGTCGATTTGGGTTTCATGAGCCATTTGAGCTAGAAATTTTAAGTCCAACCTCCTCTTTTCTCATTACTATTTTTTATTTTCTCTTGAGCTTTTTTCATTATTCTTTTATTTTCTCTCTATTTATTTACTTATTTCTATTTTTTTATTACCGTAATACTATGTTGACTAAGATTTTCTGTTCTTTTGGTGTATGTGCTGGCTTTTTGGCTTTCGAATGTTATATTTGTAATTATGAGTGTGCCAGCAAGGATCAATCAGTCCTTACAGAATGTTAATTGCCAACCAATTATCAGACGATTGTGTTTTAGTTCTTTCAGCCTCAATGAAGAGGACTTTTACTGGCAGCTTTGTTTAGGAAGAATTAAATAAACAACAATTAAAGGAAAGACAATTGTAATATTTCATTAAGTAAAAATGAAAGACTTACAAAGATCGAAGTCAGCCTCGTAGAGGTTTACAGTAACAATCTACTTGAAACTACTCCTATGAACGAAGTGCAGTGCAGGAATTTTAAAGTACAAAAATACAAAGAACAGGAAATGTAAAGCTGGAAGGAAATAAAGTAGATAAAACTGGTTTCTTTGGATCTGAGTCTGGGGGTCTCCTTGAGGCCTTCTCTGCTCTTTATACTTTTTAATGACAACCGTCGAAATGGACTTCTAACTGTCGAACCATCCCTCCATGATCACTGATCATGCTTCCTTGCAGTTAACTCTACTATGTCATATGCAGTTAGGCTTCCCTCCTAATTTTGAATTTAAATATATGAGTAACCGTTAAGGCCACGTCACTTTACATCTCTTTGTTGATCCAGTGCTACGCAGATCTTGTAAGAACCAATACTAACTGCCACGTGTACGATACGATCGAAGGTTTGAATTGTCTTCCTGTATTGCCCTTAGTTTGCCACGCGTCGAACTGTGATTGGCCCGTACAAAATATATAGCCAACATTACCCCCCGCACTAATATAACCAATACTTAGTGATATTAGTGGATCAAGGTATTTTCCTACGTCTTAGAACGTGCATGGGCTTTGCATTTTTAGAAACACAACCGTCATTCATTGATGAACATTTGCATTAACTCCTCTTCGATCCCTTAAACAAGCTCACTATCTCAGTATTCGAAAAGTCCAATTCAGTTCTCATGGATAACAGACCTTTTCTTATCTCGATCAAGCATATGAAGAGTTGTTTGATAATACCGTTTGTCCTCGAAAGAATCTTCATGCATTGATTAGCCACCTTTACCCACCTTCCTATATTCAAGTCATGGGAGCTTTTGCAAATTATCAACCTTTGGATTACGAACACACTATCCACAATTCTTTGATTCAGAAATTTGCAAATATGGACATGGAAAGTTCTTCCTCTGACCCAAAGCCTTCTGGATGGGATGAAGCTGTAACTTTTTCCTCTTTTGGGGCTTCTGGTTGGAAAAGCTGGCCGGAATTAAGAGAGTGAGTCAACTATCATTTTGTCAAGTTCATTGACCCTCTAGAATTCCTTTCCGATGCTCGGAGTTTGGTGGTTTATCCCTACGTCCCCATCGATCGCCGACGTTGTTTGGAAGACAACCTACTTGTAGCGTGGTACACATCTTCCACGCCTACGAAAATAGTACATGTCGCTCATCGCCCGGAAGAGGCACAAGGGTATAACCCTTCATTCTTGGCTTAGAAGGCTAAACTTTGCTCTTCTGACTGACTTGACATCGTCAATAGCCCCCGATTTCTTCCTACTTTCGAGATGGAAACTCCTGCACCTCCTCTTCCACAAGACCCTCACTGGATGGAGGAATTGAGGCATACTCTCTCTGAGGACCAATTTCTTCCTTCCTATCACCCTCCATCTCCTCCTACTACAGATCAGCGAAATCAAGCCCAACTTCTGCTTGCGACCTTTTCCTATTTGCCCTTCAATGTTCTTGAGGACAATGTTCCTCTCAAGAACTTTCGATGGGGTTGTGACATTATGACCCGGGGTCATATTCTCAACCCCATCGCCCAAGCAGAACTTCAAATGTTCTTGGACCAACTCTCCCTACTCCTTCATTGGCATCACAATTCTGTCACCACTATTCAGTCCTTGGACCAAATGTCAGCCAATCGAGTTCATACCCGGTATGAAGCGGAGAACCTCATTGATGAATACGATAATTTCAAGAATAAAGATTATGCATACTGGGATGACCTGGATATGGACGAGACAGAACAAGGGCTAAAAGAGACAGAGTTTGAAATAAAAGCTGAAAAACTTTTTTACCAAGTAAGAGCATATCAACTTCAGCATCCTAGCCTGGAGAAGATAGAAGACAGAATAAAGAAAGAATAGAAGCTAATTGACCATAGCTGGAACAAGTTCCATGATCTTGTTATTTATTCTATTCCTTACTTTTATGAACTTGAATATGTGCCTAGGCAAGGCTTCTGATGTAATCATACTTATCTTAATAAAGCGGAAAGATTTCTTTTACTTGGTATGGTCTAATTTTACTCCACTTATCCGGGACCAATCAGAATTATGGCTTCGAATTCATCAATTTTCTCTTTGAAACTTGACAATCAAAGAAATATTTGGAAACCAATTTGACTTCTTCTAATACATGGAGGTCCCCTTTTAGAATTAGAGCCTCGAATTTAACAACCTTGCTTCTTAAAGCTCGTTTTAACCATATTTACCATATGGTTAGTACGATCAATCATTTTTAAATTGACCATTTTTGCTTCGAACATCAGTTTATACTTTCAAAAACATGGAGGCTTCCTTTAGTGACTGCATTGTTTTATTCTAAAAGAGCAAACTATCCTGGATATTATCAAACCAATTATTGGTTTGGAACTTAGAACAAACCATTTCTAACCTTAAGGGATTCCAAGTTCTGCTTCGAAGGATTTATTCTCACTAGGAAACCCTAAAACAGGTTCTCAATCCTTTTGAAGTAAAAAAATACTTGAGCATTCTTGCTATCCTGACCCGAACTCGCCCCTATGGGTTAAGGACATAACTAGCCAATAATCAAGGGATTACCTACGGCCTCAAACCAAACAAGACATATCTCATCATAACAAAGGGGCCAAACGGAAGCAAATTTAAAACTTTTGTCCATAGAGCTGTGCTTACATGGCACATCATAACAGTCCATATATATATATATATCTGTTAATAACTCATATCAGAGGGTTAACAACACAAAGTTCTGTACATACATAGGATCATTCAGGTCTTAGTCAGCCTAGCCAAAACTTATATACAAAGGTAATTTGATGTTTTTGCCAATATAACGAAACTATATCAAAAGAACAAAAGAGGCGAAGACAAGTCTCATGCGTGAGACGCTTGGGCTGACTCTTCAAAACCT